AAAAAAATACATTTTAAAAAGTATTCCACAATAAAGAGTTTATTTTTTATTCTTTTGGCTTTTGAACAAGAGGCCTCGCATTGTCATTTTACACTAGCCATGCAAATTATGTTGCCTACCTTGCCTCTGTCCCACCCTGTCACCCAGACATCAGATTGGTATCTGGGCCCTTTTGAGTCTCTGAAAGGCTAAGAATAAAGCTGTGAGTGTGTCAGAGTCCAGCAGAGAAGGCCAGCATATGATGAGGTCTGTGCTCTGAGCTCTTCTAGATCCTGGGAAAGGCAGCAGCAGCCACAGAATACAGAGGTCCCCACTCAGCCCTAATGGTGTTTCTACGAGAGGCCCCTCCTCACCACAGTGAACAGCATGGAGTTGTAGCATCCTAGAGCTGGAGGGGATCTCATTCACTTTTCTACCACAACTCCTTGCTCTACCTTTTAGAAAGGAGAACATAGAAACACAGAGGGAGGTAGAAGACTCCCAGGCCTCCAGAGCCCTCCAGCGAGTGAGTGACAGCCCAAGTCCTGCCCAGCCCAGAGCCTGGTATTGCCTCCCTTTGACCCAGATTGGCCCTGCCTTCCCTGGGCCTGAGTATTTCCTAGCAGCCTGAGTTGCTATCCCACATTTCCTCAAAGACCCTTCCTTGTTTCTCTGGGCATGTACAGGGTGTGTGTGTGTAGGCCCTGGTAGGATAAGGCCAGAAGCAGAAAGAGAAGGCTCTAGTCATTGCATTTCCCACTTGACTATTTTCCCTGGGGTGGAGGTGGAGGAGAGTCTGAGAGCCACAGCGTGGACAAGGCCTGGTGTAGCCCACATTAGCAAGTCTTGAGACCAAAGAACTGCCATGGGTGTCACTAGGAAAGAATGCAGAGGCAGCGGCAGCAGGAGAAACTTCAGGGCTAGAGAGCAGAACTCAACTCCAGGCTGACTGGCCCTGAAAAGTGAAATCAGACCTCCAAGGAGTCTGTGCTGTAGAGGGGCTCAGAGGGAGGAGGGCTCTGATCATGCTGCGGAAGTGTAGCCTCACCAGGGTACAGGAATCCCTGAACCAGAAACCTGTGGGCTTCCTCAGATCCCGTATAAAATGGCCACGCCCCTGGAGACTGTTGTCATGGCAGCAGCTGCCAGAGCTGACTGTCTTTCCCCTGCACCCTGGCTGCCTTGCCAGCCTTCAGCTCCTGTTACATGAAAAGGCCTGTGCTGCCCACTCCAGCTGCACATAAAGGTGTCTGGAGCCCACTGCCCAGGAACAGTTGTTTTTTTTTGTGTGTGTTTTTTAATATGTGTGTGTGTGTATGTAAATATATACATACATACATACATACATATATATGTATATATATGTATATATACATATATACATATAGATAGATAGATAGATAATTTTATATAGAGAGGGAGAAGGATAGAGAGTTAGAAACACCGGTGAGAGAGAAACATTGATCAGCTGCCTCCTGTACACCCCCTACTGGGGATGTGCCCGCAACTAAGGTACATGCCCTTGACCAGAATCGAACCTGGGACCTTTCAGTCCACAGGCTGACGTCTATCCACTGAACCCAACCAGTTAGGGCCCCAGGAACAGTTTTACAAAGTGGTTAGAGGTTCAATTTCTCATGTCATATTGCTGGGGTTTAAATCCCACCTTAGCTACTTACTATCATCTGTGTTTCTGTGGGAACAATCTGTAACCTCCCAGAGCCTCAGTTTTCTCACCTGTAAAATGGAGCTCTGTAGACTTCAACCCTCACTAGCAATAGTGAGCCCAGCAACACATCATCACAGGACCTTACATCAGCAGTAGCAAATCAAATCTATCAGAAGGATTATTTCACAGCCCCCACCCTGATCACATACAGACAAGGGGCCGATCACAATTCATTTGTAACAAATGGTTATCACCATCGCAGGACCGCCTTCACCTATTCCTTGTTGAGAGCCCTTCCTCTCAAGGGAACCCCAAATCAGCTATAATCAGGCAGAGACTTAGAGCCAATACCAAGACACTGTCTTCCTTTCCTCCTTTCCTGGTTCTAATTCCTTCTACCTCCCTTGTCTGCCCACCCCCCATATTTATCAAGTTCTCATCAGGACTAATTTATACTGGTTTGGGAGCTTTCAGGGGCAACTGTGTCTTCTATCAGCAGCACTAGAAAGTAATCCTATCCTGAGACGTCACACTGAGAGAGGAAATGAAGGGAACTGGCCCAGCAGGGCACACACTCCTGGCTGCCACACTCAGCAGGGAAAAGGAATTTTCTATTTGGAGTCAGAGCTCTTTGCTGAGATCTCCCCTAGATCTTCCCTGAGATGGGTGTGCTTTAAATTAATATCGTGTAGCTAATGTACTGAATAACAGAACCTGGATTCAAAGAATGAGGGAGAGAATCTAACAAGACAACATTTAACCCAGAAAAATAGAAGCTTCTGTACTTGGGTTAAAATGGACTTATAGAAGTCCATTAACAGGGATGTATGAAACAGATCTGGGGTGGGGGACTCTCAGTTGACTGCAACTTAAACTGGATTCACTGTAACCCTGTCAAGGTAGTTCAGTTGGTTAGAGCATTATTTAGCTACACCAAGGTTGCTGGTTCGATCCCCAGGGCACAAACAAGAATAAACCAATGAATGCATCAATGGGTGACAAATCAATGTTTTTTTCTCTCTCTCCTTCTCAAATCAGTAAAATAAAAAAGTCCCTAAATCAGTTATGCAATTCGTTTTTTTAAAAACATATTTTTATTGATTTCAGAGAGTGGAAGAGAGAGAGAGAAACACTGATGATTAGAGAGAATCATTGATCAGCTGCCTCCTGCACACCCACTACTGGGGATCAAGCCCTGACAGGGAATTGAACTGTAACCTCCTAGTTCATGGGTCGTCACTCAACCACTGAGCCACACCAGCCGGGCGATGTAATTGGTTCTTTGAAAAAACACACACAATTGGATTCAACTGTGATATGGCATCCACAGTATCTGCTATGATCTTAGGATGCATGTATAGACATATAGTGGCTATTCTAGAATGAAGGATGTGATAAGATCATCCCATTCTACACTAGTCAGAATATTTAGTATTTTCAGAGAAATTTACAAATTCAGGAGTATATAGGATGGTGAGTGACTTTGAAAAGATATATCACATCAGAAAGAGATGAAATAAGAGAGGAGGTTTTTTATAAGAACATAACTGTTTAAGGATTAAATGAGAGATTATATTGAAAGTGCTTAGTAGAATGCTCAATGCAACTGATCAATTCATGTTAATAAAAGAATGATAATTAGTAGTGTTAATAGCACTATGTCATGCTATTATTATTACTACTATCATAGTTAATGCTTCTAGAGTGCTTTCTATATGCTAGGTACTCTTCCAGGCCCTTCACATATACTGACTCATTCCTCTTACCAATCCTATAAGGTAGAAACTATTATGATGTCTCCAAGTTTGAAGATGAGGAAGTTGAGTCACAGGTCAAGTAAATTGTTTTACAGATGGGCAGGGGAAAGAACCAGAACATTGACTCTGGCGTGTCAGGCTATCAAGGGTAAAAGGCACTTTTGTATTTTATACTTGTACCCTCCAGAGGGCAGAACCAGGATCAATTCAATGTGTGTAAACTATTGGGAAGAAGATTTCAGCACAACAACATCAAAAACCCATTCTGAATTATTAGAATTGCCTGAACTTTCAATAGGGGGTCTTTTAATGTAATGAGTTCTCCATCACAGGATGTAAGGAAAAAAGGATAGAAATAAAGAAATGAATGAAATGGGGCTCCTCTTGTAAAGAAACCATACAAATGATGAGCCAAGCCTTGGTGAAAAAAATAAACAAGGTATAGTGCAGTGCAACTTTATGGAAAATATATAAAGGTGAACTAATGTCTTTCTGCTATCTCAGCCCAGAATAAATTAAATGTTGGACAAAAAGTTACAAAATGGAAAATTCCACGTATGAATTTGTTAGGAAACGTACTAGATGGTCACACTGGATTTGAGAGAAGCAATCCCAAGATCTTCACAGATCTGATTGCCACCTACCCTGAAAGTATAAAATTCAGAGAAGAGAGGTATAGTCTGCTCTCTGGAAGAAAGGGCACCTGCATGAGAAAGTAGCATCCAGGCATGGGGGTGAAGATCATAAAACCCAATTTGATCCCAAAATACAGACTTATAATGACAATTGAGTATGTTAGCATGATTTTAATCCCACTAGTCAGTGTGTGGTCAACAGAATTACTGCACAGTTTAATATGAATGTGGTCTGTGCTGAATCTATCTTTTTGGGTCTAGCAGTTCCACAACCCAAATACTTGCTAACTTAATGAATTAATATAAACTTCCTCAACCAGCAACACCGAGAGATGGCTAGTTAAGGATCTGAGTTCCAGCAAAATCTCTTGCTTCTATTATGAAAAAATGACTGAATAGTATATATATAGTTATATTATTTACATTAATATATATAAACACACACACACATACATAAATACTAGTATTTATGTAATGTCACACTCTTCACCAAAAATGTTCCCATTTCAGATAAGTTTCCAGACTATTTGTACTTGGACAAATACGTATTTTGATTTATGAAATTCAAAGTATTCAGTATTTTTAGAATTACATACTTTACAAACTTAATTCTTTCTAGAATTCTAGAACTGAATGATAACCAAATTGGACTAGAGTTTCTATTTGTGATATAGGTATGGTGGCTCACAAAAAAATAAAATTTTTAAGTAATGGAAAAATGAAAGGTTATCTTTTGTGAAAGTGACAAGAGATGCAAACCATGTTGACAGAGCCTACATGGACATGATAGAGTTATGGGTGTGGATTTAAACTGGGAGAGGTGACATATGGTATTGATTCATTAAGGAGAAATAGTCAAATTTCAGTGCAGGATCTGGAGTGTAGGGGAAATAATGAGCCTTGGTGACTGATGACGTGAGAAAGGGGGAGAGGTGGGTATCAGGGGAAGCTGCTGAGAGGAAGAGTCAATAACCCCCAAGACTGGATACTGACTGTCCCTGGTAACTAGAAAAAAAAAGGCAAATATAAACAAAGAGAGGTGAGGGACGATGCCTAGTGCATTGGGGATCTGGAAACACTGGCAAAGCTGCAGCACCGCAGTGGGTCAAAGTGGTAACTGGGGATCTGAGCTCGGCGGTGACGCGCGGCCCTCACGTGACCAGGAGCCTATGTCTGCCCAAGTCCCTCTCATCCTGGTCCTTTTTGCCAGTCCAGACACCGTCTGCCCTTTGGTCGAGGGGAAAAGCAGAAGGAAGGAAGTCCCCGAGGTCCTCTGAAATCGGTGTGAGTGTCAGTGCTCCCCAGTAATCCCAGGGATCAGGATGGCAGAGAGTCCAAGCCTTTCCCTGTGCCAGCCCCGCGCCAGCACTTCGGTGCAGAAAATGGTGGTTTTGGGGGTGGGGAGGTGAGTGGACCAACCCTGAGAGGGAGCCAGACACTTAGATACAGTTTCTAAATAATCCTTAGCGTCCACATCCCGCCTGAAAAGAAATGACGAGCACCGAAGGGTGGGGGTGGGGGGCACGAAGGACAAAGCTTGAGGTGAAGGGAGACATGGAGGAGAGTGGGGGTGCCTGGCTGACGGGGAAGCAGAGCCGCTGGCGCGGGGTGGGCGGCTGGTGCCCAGAAAGGGGCGCGAGTGTCAGTCCTTCCTCCCTACCCTCTCCCTTACCCCTACCCTGTCTGGCGTCCGTCTGCAGGTCTGCAGGTCACGGCGGCCCGAATCAGGAAAAGGCAGTTTTGAGAACCCGGGGCCGGGGTTTTGGTCCCGCCACCAAATATGCTGACTGGACTGTCTTGCTTGTCTCTTCTGAATGACTGTGCTCACGAAGGCCGTTCCCAACATGGACAGATCCTGCCAAGCAAATGAGCAGCCACAGGGTTTGCCCGAGACGGACGAGGAGCAGCCTCGGGCGGAGCCCTCGTCCGAAGAGCCGCCTCGGGAGGAGCCTTGTCGG